GCCTCAGGTTCGTTGATTTTGTGGGGTTCGTTGGTTCCATTTTATTATTATTTGTACTTTGTGACAGAAGTAATTTTTTTTTTTTTTTGGACTTACTATATTATTTTGTGAAGATTTTAGGCAGTATTTATTTTTGCTGAAGGAAGTGATTTGGTGACCTCAATTTCATAATTGGTGTTTCGAGGTTCTGCATTCGAAACGTGTTTCTCAAGAATGTTTTCCTGCAAGTTGTAGCCTTAGGTTGCTGTTATAATTGGTGGGTTTGGAGGCAGGAAATGAGAATTTAAGGTTGTTAAGGAGGCCAAAAAATAGCCAATTCCAACAGAAGTTAAGCAAAGTAACTATTAAACTGCAAAGGCAAATTTTACATAATAGCATTCAAGCATCACGATGTATAAATGAGAAATAAATTCATTACACTTAAAGATTTTTGATAAAGCAGATGTTGCTAAAGATGATGTCTTAGCTTCAAAAGACTTGTTCTAAAAATACTTTCAATGGAGGAGAGAAGGTGGCTCGATTGCAGCTCTACGTGCCAGACATATTAAGCGACTCTAACACATCCAACATTTCAGTTTTTACTCTGCTTTTGTGCTTTTTTTTGACTATGTTTCTTCCTTTGTGCTTGTGTGTGAATACATAGAGTTGATATAATGCTATAGACTGTAAATTTCATTTTTTTGCTTGACTAGAAATGGCTTATTTTGTTTTATATATCAAAAACTTCTTGACCTGTTGCTATTTTTGATTTTAGAGTCGTAAAGTAAATTATTCATTTACACTAATAGTTCTCTATCTCTGATTTCCAGTATGCTCTTTCTGTCTCCGCCTCTCTCCCTCAGTGTTTGCTTGTTTCTCTTTCAGTTTTCTGTCTGTGGTAGTCATTTGCATGTTTTTTTTATGATAATATTTAACTTTTTGATGCATTGTTTGTAACAGGACAATAAATGTGAGGTTCCGGTTGACTTCAAGAACAATGGTAAATGACTATGAACCCGAAAAACAACAGCATACGATTGAAAGCAGGCAAGTGTTGTGGGTCTGTTTAGTTTGCTGACAGGTAAAAACTGGTAATTATTTCTTTTGCAAATTAGATAGTAATTTTGTAGTCTCACATATCTTCTGAATGTTTGATAAAAATCCTGTGCTGAGCAAGCTTTGTACAACTTAAATGGTTTCATGCTAGGAGAGCAGAGCACCCAACTTTCGTGGCGTCGCAGTTCTTCAAATAAGCAGGTTTAGAATTTAATGATTTCTGAAACATGAATTTGCTTCATATAAAGTTCGAGCTCATGCCTTGCTTCAGACCTTATTCTCTTTTCTTGTTGGGACTGAATTGCCCTTTGTTTTGCTGATCGGTCGTGCCTTTTTCTCTCGTGTTTTTCGTAATTTAGCGAATCATCTTTTTCTTCCCAAATTCAAAAGTCAAAACAGTACAAACAGCTTTTTCTGAGCTTTGCACGTCTTCATCTTTTCGTACCGAAGGGACAGGGTAGAGAGCTTTTATTTTCCAATATGTAAAAAAGATTTTCTACTGTTATCCCCCTCTAAAATCGCCCACATTCCAAACTCTCCGACGAAGGATTTTGCCCGGGTCAGGTGCTCGGTCGAGCGACACCCAACAGTTGCTCTGGCGGGTTCTTTTGAAAGCGCGAGGAGCCAGTCATCACCTTGGTGATGTCGTTGATGATCAGGTGCAGATAGGGTATGTATTTATATTTCCTTTAATTTTATAACTATTGCTTTGGAATTTGATTTTATTAGTTCTTTTTTGTGGGGCCAAAAGCTATGAGAAATTTTTGGATTGGTATCTATTTAATTGTTAGGTACTTATAATTTTTATTTTTGTACTCAATTTTTCAGTCTGTGTAAAAGCGGATCCATGGATAGAGCTGGTTCAAGCATAGTTTCAACTCCGACCAGGTTTTACGTTTTTGTCTGTTTGTATTTGTGTGTGTGAACCCATTTAAGGTGGCTGCCTGTAGTAACTGTATTGTTTTTCATTGGTTTCTTTGTTTCATCAAATGAAATTTTCAGGGCATGTTTAGTGTGTTGGTTTCTTGGACTTGGAGCACCTGTAGCATGGAATATTATGCGGACAATTAGAGATTCATGCTATCAGTTGTTCGAGGTAGGCATATTTTTCCACATGTTGCAAGCTTTATTCTTATTTTGTTGTTGAATAATGCCCATAAATTATTTGTGAATAAAAACTCATTTTTTGGATTACTTTCTTAAATATAACACAATTGTGGGTGAAAATTTTTAAAGGGCTTGAACTTTATCTCTATCAGAAATAGCGACTTCGTTCGGTATGGCTTGCACGACACGATTTGACGTTGTTGCACGTCTCTATTTCGTCTGGTGCTGCTGGATTTTATCGCATGGAGGCAGGTTTAAGGACAACGAAAACTATTACTTTTCTATCTCTACGAAGAGCTAAAAAGTCAACTCTCTTGAATCTCTTTTTCCCCTCATGTTAATTTGCTACTCTCATTTTTTTTTTTGCAGTTATTTTCTTTCCTCTAAGAGGAGCAAACAACAAAAAATCATGGATTGAGTTACAACTATTTTGCCAAGAACGGCATATGTTGCGGTGTGGTGTGGCGTATTTCTTAGGGGCTCAATCGAGGAAACACATGCCATTCTACTTCCCATATAGTGCTTTACCTTTGTAGTTATTTTTTTTTTTTTTTTTGCGCTATCTTTAGTGTTTCGTCTCTCTCTTACTCTTAACTTTTTATCATTTTTTACTTAAATTTTGTGTATTATGATTTTTTTATAGGTTTCATCTGTCTATGTGATATATAAATGTATCATATAATGTGTACGAATTTCCATAGTAGTTTTACATCGGGTGTTAGACCGCCGTGCGTGCACGGCGTAAACCATCTAGTATAAATATATATAAAAAAGAATTAGGGAGTTGAAAGAAGATCTAGGAATTTACCTGGAACTTACCCTATTTCATTCGACTTCACCCTATTTCATTCATATATCTTCACACTTTCACTATATATGAAGAATACAGTAATGCTAAGGAGCCAACAGTTGGCTCCGTTATGGAGCCAACAATCAATTGGACAACTCCATGTGAGGCTGTCCCACATTAAACTATTGTGGGACAGTTCCACTTGGAGTTGTCTCATTGATTGTTGGCTCTTTAGCATTATTGATGAAGAATAAATGCCTAATAACATGAAATATCATGACGAAAAAGAGAATAGGCTTTCTCTTATCAGCATTTGTAGGCTTTCTCTTATCAGAATTTGTGTTCAGTAAGTAAATATATATTAATAAATAATTTCACTAATACAATTCGATACAAATTACAATAATGTAGTAACATTAATTTGATGATTTTTCACTAGTTACCTCCAGCATATGAATGATATAATTGTTACAGAATCATTAAGCTTTGGTCGACAAATAAAATTATAATCACCAATCAAATCTGACCGTGGTTAAATTAACCAATTCATTTGAAAACATATTTAACAACACCAGGGAGGTGAATGTTGATGAAGTAATCCTCCCAGTTAATGTCTTTTGGATCAAAGTAGAATATATCAGTCTCAACTCCACTTTCCTTTGCAGCCCTCCTTAGCTTCTCCGTGTTCATATCATCATAACTGCAAAATACAAAAAAAAAAAATTGTCCTTTTATTGACATTGTCTTCATTAATCGAGCCGATCGAGTCCAATGCTATTCGTGTTCGAACATCTTGCGACTTTTGACATTTCCTTTTTCTACTTAGCCAACTTGAGATTTAAGAAACTAATAATACTCACTATCCTTTGAAGAACAAATAGGGTGCATAAAGCTCGACCAGCCGCAACACGAACTTGATCTTTCTGCATTGCTCGTGATACACGCCTCCGAAATACTGGCAACAAGCCGTGTTCACTATTTGTAGTCCCTAATTTCACGAACAAATTGAGTAATAAATACGAAAACGAATTATCAGTCGTGCCTTTTATTTTGTTAAAAAAAAAAAGGAAAATCAAATTGGGACTAAAATGGAGAACCTTCAAAGGAAGTAAGTAGCATATGTCTAAGTATCTACGGAAACTTTCCATGGAGTTCAACACTTTGATCTTCCCAACTATGACCGGCTTGCCTTGTTTGTCGATCCACGGGTGCTCGGTAAAGTAGCGTTGACCGTAATCTTGAATCGACTTGAATTCCAAAGGGTTGGAAACGGAAGATCCAACATGATAAATGGTGTGTTGGGGCTGATTTGCATGGGCAACCATGGATACTATTATGGCATTCACCACCATGTCTGCTGGTATCTGCATTATTACACTCTTTTATATAAGTGGGACACATTTTATTTATCTATTTATTCGTTTAATTGAAAAAAAAAATAGACATACTATGGAATACTTGTGAGTTTTTTTGTCTTATTTTTAATCATTGGATCAAAACACGCGTCAGTTCGATTTCGATTATGATAATGGGCAAAAAATCTGGTTAATCGAAAATTTGGTCGGTTCGACTTTAACCAAATAAGCAGCCCCAGACAAAACTGTACAACTATATAACGGACGAGAAGGGATAAAATATAATAGACGCACCACATCAATGACGGTCTTGGGATTCCCGAGGAAACATGACATTTTTCCTTTACCGTACGCAACTGCTAAGCTATCAATTGTTCTGCAAATCAAAAACATTTTCATATTAACAAATAAATGAAGCACATCCTTTTATTAAATAAAACATGGAATTAATCAAAATATTGAATAATGGGATTCATATTGACGAGAAAAAATGCGATTATTTTTTTGCGGAAAAATATACATTTTTTTTTTGTTCATAATATGTGTCGTTCCGAAAAATTCAACAATAATTAATAATTTTTTTTTGTCAATAATAACTTTTTTTAATGAAAATTAATAATATGAAAATTAAGAGTCGGGTCTATTTATTAGGTAAATGATGGTAATAATGAAAAAATAAGTACAAAATATACAAAGCGTAATTTATTTGGTTAATAGTTGATAAAATAAAAATGACATTTAAAAAGAATATGAGGTAGTACATATAATCGAGTAATATTTACTTAACTCCTTCAGCCCAACCAGGGAAAGGCTCCTTGTAAGTACTTGTGACAATTGTAGGACGAATAATGACAAGTGGTATATTTCCTTTGAATTCTCCCAACAACATCTCCCCCATGGCCTTGGTGAATACATAAGTATTTGGCCACCCAAATTTCCTAGCTCTGTGTACAAAAATCATCATCAACATTTTTGCAACCAAGTTTAATTTGTATTTTTTAATTATTTCCAAATCAAACACTACAAAAAAAATGTTATATTCTAACGGAAAATCCTATGGTAAAATATTCCAATAGAAATTCATACGGATATTCCGGTAGTATAGCTTCCGTTGGAATGGTTGCAACGGAAATTCCAATGGAAATATTCCGTTGGAATGTGTTTTTCAGTGGAATTTTAGATGAAATTTGATAATTCCAACGACTATATTTCCAACGGTTTTTTACCGTAGGAATTTCCGTTGGAATTTTTATTTCCACCCCCGTTGGAAAATCCACCGTTAGAATCGTCAAAATCCAACGGAAATTCCAATGGAAAACTCATTCCAACGGAATATTTTTGTTGGAATTTCCGTTGAAATCCATTGAAAAATTCCAACGGAAATAATAGTATTGAAATATCCGTTGGAATATTATCATTTTCTTGTAGTAAAACCTTATCAATTTACTTGTTAACATAAACCCAACTTGGTGTCATATATCAATTTTTAGAATTAATAATAATTTTAGTTCTGTATGTTTAACTGATCTAAATTTTTCGTACTCTTCAGTTTGCGTTTTTTTATTTCCGTCCTACATGTTTACAAAAAAGTTACAGAAAGATCATTTTCGCAACAAAAGAGTCCTTTATGTTTTGCAAAAAAAAAAAAAAAAGGTTCAAATTCCGCCGCCCCTTATGTATGAAAATGACATTTTTGTAACATTTTTGCAACATACGAGACGAGAATAAAAAACACAATTCAAATAAGACAAAAAAAGTTAATGTAGTTAAACATACCGGACTAAAATTGCAATTTACTCAAATTTTTATCTACAAAAGCCACCATTAAGCAATTATACCCAAACATGTCAATACTAATAAGATAAATGCAAAGTATTTAAACTATGTGACCTCAATTAATTAGTACTTGAGCCTATGTGTAGTGAAAATAAATATTAGTTGAGATGTGTATGTATGTAGGTAGGTAGAGAGTGGTGCATCTAACCTTTGAATCCCCAAATCTTTCATGTTTGACTTGATAATGTCTTCACAACAATTGTCAGCCTTGAGCTGTTTTAGAGTGTCGTTTACCAACTTATTTTCGGAGTCAATGTGAAGGCCTGCAGATGACCCCTTATTGAGGGTCTCTCCCATTTTGTATGGGCTTTCCAATATCAGCCCCTCTTTTTCACCAGATACATAGGCTGAAAAAAGTCAACAGGTCAATAATTACACTGCCCACATTTAATTAAATTATATTCCAATTCTCTAAATCAAATATTAATTAGTTAAAATCTTTTTCAAAATAAATAAATCTTTTTATAATAAGCTAGCTTTTTCATCTGGCTAAATTATTGCAAATTTGTGTACTAATTATTATTATAACAAATAATAAGGGGTAAACAATAATGTACTAATTAATTACCAGTTGATACGTGAACTAGCACATTTAACTTGTGGCATTTCTTGGAGAAGTTGAGTACATTGGTAGCCCCCATTGTATTTATTCCAAGCAAAACATCATATCTGCTTATACAAAAGTAAATAAATACAATTAGACTTAATATTCACTTTTAATATATACAAACAGTATTAATTAATTAAAAAGAGACTACCCTTAATATAAACTTGTTTATGGGCTAGAAGAAAAATAAATGCATATTATAACAACATGAAATATTATATTGTACCAATTCACTAAAAAAATATTTCAATGGAAATGTTAGCAAAACTTAGTGCAAAACTATATTAATCTGTTGAAATTAAGTTCCTTTTGGAATTTCATGGCATAATTTAGTGCAATTTTTACAATGATTCATTGTTATGAGAATTTTCATTATAGTTATTTATTCTTTTACATAATTTCAAAATCTGACATTAATACGGTAATTATGTTCTATAGAATATTTTAGTTTTGTTTATGTTGAAGTCTTTCTTGTTGGGATTTTTTTTAACACATTTACTACTACGTACATTTAAATATCCCATGGAAAATTTTAAGGTTGCGAGTTTTCTTAAAATTTATACGTATACCTATCATCAAAATTGGTATTTGCAGCTAAATTCACGACGACGTCAATTTCGCTCCACATTTCTTCTAACAATCCCGAGTCCTTCACACCCAAGTTCTCGAACGTAATATCTCCGGCTACAACCTTAACTTTTTCCGAGACGAGCGAATTTAAATTCCCACCGTGCATCTCTTTCAAAACCCTGAACAAATCCTTTGCCAAAACCTATATACAAGAAGAAAGACATTTGTCAAAAGTAAAGAGAACCTTCATAACATATCAGACCGGGCTTTATTTTATTTTCATTTATATATTTTTTCTCTCTGTAAATTAAAGTAAATTATTAAATCGCAATAATTATAATTAACTTATTTACCTCGTTGTTAAAGCGTAGCATGGCTGATTTTGTATCTGAAGCCCTCAAGAGAAGAAAAAGCTTCTTCACATTTGGTTGTACCCTCAGTACCTTCTCAGTAAAAACTGCATAAGACCGAATGAATGAGCCAAAAATAGTACTCTCATCTTATGTGTCACTTGTACTATATGAAAGTCTGCATATCTACATTAAGAAGATTATACCATCTATAATTTTGTTTTTTCCTAATTGTACATAAACCAACTTTTACTCTACATAAATATACATATATGATTTATTTTTTTTTTGTAATATGTTTCTAAGTGTATCACTTTTTTTTTTTTAAATTCATTTATGCATGAT